ATTAAAAAATTTATTATTTATTTAATATTTAAAATTAAATAATTTATTATAATTTAAATTAAATAATATTTTTTATATGACTATTAACGTCATGGCTAGTTATTGCTCTTTAACTTTAAAAATAAATATTAAAAGTCAATCGTAATGAGCTGTTGATGCGCTTCGATTTTAAATTCTCCGGGAAAAACCGTTGAAGAAAGATTACTTCCACGACTGCTCTGGCAGATTTGGCTTTTGCCTTACTCATGATGGAGGGTCGGGCACGTTCACATTTTTATTTCTTTTAGGACATCTAGCATGTAAATCAGCCGCCAGTCTCTCTCTAGCTACTACTAAATTAGAAGCAGCTAGAGCCTATTGTTGATTGTCTGGTGTGTAGTGAATTCCGCGATAAATTTGAAGCTCAATGGGGAGGTTCAACAGCAACGGTAAGGGTGCGTATCTGACACCATAAAAAATTAGACGAATATTGGCCTTTGTGAGTGTTGACACCTCAATGCTAAAACATACTTTATTCTTGTTTGTTTAGTGGTAGTGACTACCATTTACTCAAATTATATAAACAAGTTAAAATTAACATACTTTAATAAGAAATTAAGAATAATTAAATTTATTAATGATTTAAAATAAATTAGTGATAATCTTTTTTTAGTAAAAATAAGAGATTTTAAGTTTAAATTATGTAATAAATAGATAAAGTGAATTAAAAGATATAAAATGACTATTTCCAATTATATAATTTAAGATAAAAAAAGAATAACTAAGCCTTATTAATTAATGTCTAGTTTTCTTTTTACATTAGTAAATCAATGAATATATATTTCCTTATAAATGAAAGGAACAAAAATTTCCTTTTCATTTCTTAATTTAGTAAAGAATTATTAAGAGTCACATTTTGTAATTTAAATTATACTAAATTATAAAAAAGGAAGCATTGAATATGAGAACAATCCTTAATATCAATGAGTTCACCCCAAATTCAATATTTTAAATTATATAGTTCAAATTACAGAAAACTTTTTTAACATTATCAATATTAAAACTTAATTATTCTTAACTTTTTAGGAAGTTTCTCAAATTTACTTCATTTTTATAGTTTGATTAAGGAAGTCACTACAACTAACCAAACATGACCTCCCTATTCGTAATAAAACTAGATGGTGAATCCTAATGATTTGATTTACTAGTAAAAAAAGTGTTGTCTTAGTTCAAGTTTAGAGTGTGTTTGGGGAAAAGTTTTTCCCCTCACTAAGTTTAAGACATTTTAATATTCTTATACCTCAATAAATAAAAGGGAAAGTTGATATTTTTATACAATTCCCAATAAACAATCTTTTTTTTTCCACATTATTTTTGAAGGGAAAAACTTTTCCCCTAACTTTCTTAATAAGAGACTCATTTAACAATTTTCTTAATATTAATTTCTTATCAAAATGAAAATGTTAATAACTTAATAAAATTTTAACAAAATTTCAATACAAAACTTATTTACTTTTTATATAGTATTTTTTCAAACACTTTTTTAATAAAAAAAAATTTCTAATAAAGTTTATCTCTAACTAAAAGACCTTTAAAATTTAAGTTTTGCGAATAGTAACTGGATTTATCAGGATGCCATGGAAGCAAAATTTAAAAATTTCCTGTTAATTTCAACCCTATTGGGATTCTTATTAATCAAATGACAGTTAAAAAAGGACAATGAGACAAAGCTCAATGAAACATGCCTCATGAGAGGTTGCTTCGAATCCACTGCCCTAAAACCACATGTATGATAATGGAATTAAGAGAAAACTGAAACCTTATAGTACTAGCTTTGAAAAATTCTAGTTTATTGTTCACTTTTGGTTGTAATTCTTTTGTGGCCTAAATTCTACATTGAACTAAGAAGAGAATTATGTTATCTACTCCTATTTGTATTATAGGTGATAAGAAAAATTAGGGTAATTATAGTCTAATTGAAATTATATTAACTAAAACTTAGTGTTCAAATCAAAGTAAAAAACAAAGGGAGAAGATTTTCCTTTCTTTTTCTCCTCCTTTTGCTGCCACTCGTAGTCCATGTTGTATTAGGAGTGTGGTTTGCACGCACTTGTAAATTTTAATTTCATTAGTGCTCTATTGTGTAATTAAGTTTTTATCTCATTGATATTAAGTTACTCTAAAGGGATTGTGCCCAACCTCACTCTAAATAATAGTTCTAGCCCTGTAGGAGTTGCTTGAGTAGCTGAGAGCAATACAAAAGTATCCAATCATCCAAAAAAAATCAAACTGGAAGATATCCAGAAATACAAAAACACACAAGAGCTGTTAAATTGACCGGAGACGGAAAACTCCAAATAAATATGTCAACTTACCTTCTCTGAAGCTACTCTTGAACCTTCGGGGCACATGGCGAAGGTACCTCATGCGTCCAGTTCCAGTAGTCTTTCTGCGGATTGCCTTCACAGTCCAATTATTTCGGAAAAAAAAGTACAAAATCAAGAAAATTATCATGCACTTGATTTCATCTCTTTAATATAAGAAAAATAATTAGCAGATTTTCAGTTCAGCACACATTTTGATATTTATTTAGTTTAATTATTAAAATATAATAAAAGTATAATTAATTTAATCAATTTTTATATACTACTTATATAGTTATATTTTTAAATTTATCTATTTTTAATTTTAAATTATAAAATAATAATTTTTTAATAAATATATTATTTAATATATTAAAATAAAATGTGTACTAATTAATATTCTTAATACAACTATGCTATTTCCTTAAAAGAAAAAAAAAAAAAAAGAAAAGAAGGAAAGAAAGAAAACCATCACAGAGCTCTGATAGCGCGAGTAAAGAGCTTAATTGCAAAGAAGAGCCATGCTAGGGGCACTCGCTTTTCGCACTCTCCGGCAAACACTTCCCCTTTCATTGGGCCACGTAAGCTTCTTCAAAGCTTTGAGGCCAACTTCTCGGGAACCAAGATAACGTGGCCCAATAAAAGTGAAAGTGCTGACCGGAGAGTGCGAAAAGCAAGTCCCCCTAGCATTGCTCTTGCAAAGAAATATGAGCATTTCGAATGGCTCATCCTAGCAAGAAAAATTGTCGGCCCAATACACATGGAGGAAAATTTTGTGCATGAATATAAGCATCTAAATATTTTATTAAAAAAATTATTTAGAGTAATTTTTTATATAATTTTACGTATTATTTAAATAATTAAATTTATTTATTTATTTAAAACATATGATATTAAATATATTTATTTACTTAATAATATATAAAAATTAAGTAAAAATATAATATAAAAAAGTATTTCCATTTCACCCCATCCTACTATGACTCAAACAGCCCCACTTCACTCTATTTTGTGTGGTGTATCTGTATGGACCCTTTTTGACAAGACAAAAATAAAGTATAAGAAAACAATAACAAAATGAAAAAGATAAATGAAGATTAGGATTATTAGATAGAGAAAAAAAAAAAACTAATAAGAGAGGGAGGCACAACTTTAAAAATAAATTTAAATCTACGATAATATCAATTCCAACAGGGCCAAGACCGCTGCAGGTGTTGTTCTCTCCAACAGCAATGTTCTATATATATTTGATACATTAGCTGTACAATTCCATGCTAGGATTTGACCTTGGTCAACTTATGATACTTATCCATGTATAGTTTGACAGTTAACTCAATTTGGGAACATTAAATCTAAAATTCTTTAGAAGGGAAGGAAGATCAGATGAGACATGGGAGGAATAACAGACTGGCTTATATAGGCGAATAGATAGTGATTGCTTCTCAATTCAGTACTTGAGGAATAAGAAACACGGGTTAAATTAGGCGTGAGCATTTTTGGGTACATGTTGAATATGAGATATATTTAGTATTTGATTTAAAAATTTTTAGATATAACCTTTTAAATTTAGCATCTACTTAAATACTTCAAGATTTATACTTGGTACTAGGGCTGGGCATTTTTTAATCGAACCGATTGTTTACCCGAAAATTGAACCGAAAAAATGAATTCGGTTTGGTGTCAATGGTTTTTGGTTTTATTTTTTTGGTTTTGGTATTAACCGAATATATTTTGATTCGGTTTTGGTTAAGTCTCTTAAAAACCAAAAACCAAAAATAAAACCGAAATTAGGATAAAATAGATAAAATATATTAAAATATGATAAAATATAACCAAATATGATAAAATATGTGATAAAATATAATTTATTATTAAAAAAATAATTAATTAATATTTATTTAATAAAAACCAAAATCGAACCGAATTCATTGATAAAAATTGATAACTGAACCGATTAGCTTATAACAATTTTGATTCGGTTTTGGTTTGCAAAATTAAAACCAAATTTTTTTGGTTAATTCAAAATCGGTTTCGATTTTGAACCAAAACCGATTTTGCTCACCCCTACTTGTTACTTAATAAGTAAGAGGCATTTTGCAAGTATATACTTATATACTTGTTTAGTGGTATTTTGTTTTTATTTTTTTTTAAATTAAAATTTAATAAAATATTATTTATTATAATCTAAACTTAAATATAATCTAAAATAACAATAAAAAACTAAAATTTGATTTGATATCAAGAACTCAAATCTATTTACTATTAAAAAATTAAACTCAATTAAATAATTAATAATAAAGAACAAAAAAAATGTGTACCTAAACAATAAAAAATGAAAATAAATAAAATAATAGAATAAAAGTCTTTCAAAAAAGATGTCTAGGCTTTTAGGCTCGTAGTCTCTCTAATCCTCTACTTCAATTTATTAGAAAAAATAGTGGCTAATGATATTATATCTATTTTAATATCTTGATATCCATATTTTTAACTTATGATTCTTATTATATTAAGGACTTATTTGGTATAACGGTTAAAATTTACCGGATAGTAGATAACAGATAGCAATAACGGGTAGCGGGTGGCAATTAGTGGATAACGAATAATAGATGACGGATAGTGGAAAATGGGTAACGGATAGTAAATAGTGAATTCAATAAATATAACTATTTGGTTATACAATAATTAGCAGTTGTTGTTTAATATTAAATAACTAATAAGGACATGCTTAAAAATAATTAAATATGTTTTTTTAAAATATTATTTATATATTGTTATTAATTTTATTAATTTTATAAAAAAATAATAAGAATATAAATAAATAAAATTAATTATAATAATGTAATTACACTCT